CACACTGAGGCCGGGCTTTCTCCGGGTAACCGCTCCCACTCCTGTTGGTTCCTGTAGTGGAGGCTCTGCTGATGATGGCCAAGTCCAGCGTGCTGCTGGGAGGGGGGAGCAGCCCGGAGTACGTCCTCCAGGTCCTGTCCGAGAGCAGGGGAGACTTCCTGGTAAGCCGTTTTCCAGGAATCCACATTTTATGTTAATATAACGCAGTCTTACAAAACACAACCACTCAGAAAATACTTCCTCAAAGACCACAGCTTGTTTAAAAGATAACCAAGAGATCATAAGAAATCATAAGAAAAAAAACAATACATCCTCTCAAACAGTGTAAAAAAACAAGGAAAATAATCACAAGCAGAACAAATAACCACAACACAAACAAGCACAGAACAGTAGCAGGAGGCCAGAAAGATACCAAAATGACCATTACACATTTAAACAGGGAACCATTCCAACAAAACCATCAAAAAGAGAGAAATGATTCCCACCACAGGAAACACAATCACCAAAAAGATGCAACAACCAGGACGCAGGAACACAAAGTTACCACAAAAGATCACAATTAGAATGAATCATCACTATAGGAAAACCACTTAACGCCACATAATGCCAAATGTATCATATTTGATACATTCGGTTTCTGAAATGTTTTGCGTCTGACACCTTTTGCATCATTTAATGGTAAAAACTTTGCTCAAAATCCTATTGTACACAATCAGATACACCTGATAACAGGGGGCAGAAGACTACACACAAAATAATCTTGATTTATCGCTTAGTAATACATTATTAATATAAAAAATGTATTTCAGTTTTTTCTTTTTACATATTTTGTTAAAAGGCCAAATAAGGAATTTAAAAAAAAAAAGAAGTAATTTTCTGTTTTGTTTTATTCTTGGATCAGGCTTTAGAGGGCTAATGACCCAATATGAGCAAAGAAATCAACAAAAACAGACACAAAATGATCCCAAAAGCACAAAAAGAGACAGAACCAGGTCCAGCCGGCTCATTCCTTCCTCTTTCTCCTTTAGAAAACAGTGGAAAAGCTGCTGACGGCTCCCAGACCCTCCAGCCTCAGCCGGACCGGTCAGACTTCTCCCGTTCTCTCGGACTCGGGCAGCTTCTGCCTCCCCAGAGCAGCCAGTGACTCGCTTTGTCCCGCAGGCCTGAGCTGGAGCCCCGTGGAGAAGCGTCTGCTGCTCAAGTCCCTCCAGCTCCACCACAAAGACTTCAGCAGCATCCAGAGAGCCGTGAGTCTGAGTATCTGTTTCCCCAAAATCAATTAAGATCCAAAAGTCTGAGTCCCTGTTTCCCCAAGATCTCCTAATATCCAAAAGTCTGAGTCTGTTTCCCCAAGATCTCCTAATATCCACAAGTCTGAGTCTCTGTT